TAAAACACAGATCATAGCTCTTCCTTCCCATGAAAGGCACTTTGATCTCCCTGGATGAAATGCTTTATGTATTTTGGGAGTTGAGCTGCCGTGGTTCAGGGCTCTTCCCCATCCCAAAGCTCCCGCTTCGTTGTTGGAGTTTGTTCTGAGCGCGCCACACATCGAGAGCAGCGGATTTATGGCTTTGGGAAAATCTCACAGAGATCAGTTCARATCCTCCCTCTGCTTTATGAAAAGCATTTTGTGGGGCTGCTCTGCCTCGTTGGGAGTCCTCCCCGTGCCCTCAGAAGCTCCTGATGCGTCCAGTGAAGAATTGCTCTGCAGTGGCTGCTCTTTAATGTCTGCTGTGATTTATTCTGGGATATTTGGGCTGGACACGATGTCAGCCCTGCTGTCACCACCGAGGGTTGCCAGCCCAACAAAGCAGTGAGGTGGATCTGTTGCCTGAAATCAGGCTCACCTGAAATAGAGGCCAGACAAAGTTAAGAGAATGAGAACAGACAACTTTAATCCAGGCCTAACAGGCCCCCTGGTACATTGAGGGCAGACAAAGCCTCCTCTTGAGGCTCCTCCCAAAATGGACACTGGGTCACGAGATCTTCACCTTTTGTAAGTTCTGCCTTATTAAATATTGGGTCTTAATTCTCCAATGATCTTTTCAGGTGATGATCTCAACCACCCCAAACTTGCTCCTCCCCAATTCTCTGTTGTTCCCATATTTTGGGGCTCTGAGGTGTCCTTGGATTCAGGCTCAGAGAGGAATTGTTTTGTCTAAAAAAGGTAGAGCAGGAGCTTAGCACTGTACTGGAGAAATACAAGACTATAGATGCACGAAAATATAGTAACTAAAAATCCTAAGGCATCAGCAGCAGTGTGACAGCAGAGCAGAACATTTCTCATCCACACAGAGGTGCACAGCTCTTACATCAGCATTTAGGCCGAGAAAATCTGATTTTCTCACCTCTCACTGAATTATGGCAACAACTCGCAAAATAACAACCGTTATTTTGGTGTAGAAAGTAGGGTAAACAAGGCTCTATCTGRGAAGTCACTTATTTTGTTAATCCAATAGAGGAAGGAAAACATTCCTGGCATTATGGTTTTATCAGCTCATAAACATGTTGGTAGAAGCCTGCATTGCCTTAGAACAACAGCAGGAACAAGAGTGGGGAAGGAAATCTGGGATCTGGATGCTTTAGGAAAGACAACCATACATTGTGTAACCTCGGAGCTTTTCCCACTCCTCACCTCTGCAAACACTACTAAATAGACTTAAACTTGGTTTTATAATTAATTTTTTCATTCTTTATCAACCAATTAGCCAGCTCTTGCTCGAAGGATGTTTAGGAGCGACAAAAAAAGCAACAATCAGTGGAATTTCCTGTGCTTCACCCAAAAGGGAGGTTTGAAGGTCAAAAAAGGTCAATCAAAAGGTATCAATTGTGCCTAATTTGGGGCGTTTTGCAGAAGGAAAGGATTGTGATCCATCATCTGGATCTCCTGCTGTAGATCCATTTCTAACACCTACAGCAGCCAGGAATCTCTTGCTGGTCCCAGGAGCTGGGACAAGGATTTGATCCATGAAATCATTTATTGTGCCCAGAGCCATTTCTAGACTATTTTAACCAAAGAATTTGGGGTCAGCACATCAGCCACGCTGTCCCAAGCTCAGCCACCAAGACATTTAGACAACACTGGCTGAGAACGTCACCGCTGCTTTCCCTTCTTTATCTTTCCTGGAAAACAGGATAAAAACGTGACATGCTGGGACTTGTCAGATCTGYATCTCCACCCCCATCCTGCAGATGAAGGAAAAAAAAAGGTCATTCAGCATTCATTCAGGGTATTTGGGAAGTCCCCCGTGCACAGAGCAGACACCTCCAGATGTCTCCATCAGTGACKTTATTTATAAGTGGACCGAGTAGCTCGTTAGGCTAATTGCTCCTGGAGGGATTTAACCCCACTGGGAGAGCCTGAACAGGGCTCAACTGTTCCAGAGCATTTGCTGCCACTCCTCCCTTTGATTTACACCCCTCGTAAAATTTTATGGCCAGATTAGAATGAACTTCACTTGCACTACGGTTTAATAAAAGTTTTTTTATGCTGAATAAAAGCAAAAATCGATGGGGTAACTAATTACAGCTTTAACGAGGAGAGGAAAATACCTCAGAACTGGGGGATCCAAAAAGCCCCCCAGGACAGATCCCTTCAGAGACTTTGCTGCAGACACCTGAGCTCGGAGTCTGTGGGAAGAGCGACAATAAAAAAGTCATAATTTAGGGAAAAAGCAATTTTGGATGGAGACAGAGCGATGTGACTTTTTATGGCAGAGCGCGAGGGAGTCGGGGTTCCAGTAAATGGGAGAGGGGAGTGAGTGGTTATCAGTCACTCTGGCTGGAATGTCTCGGAGTTATTTGGCTGCTGAGCACGTTCTCATGGAGGGAAAAGTCCACTTTGGCAATAAGGAGTTGCTTTGCAGAGATAATTTGGCCATGCAGAGCATTTCTGTTGATAAATTACCCAGCTCCCTGGGCTACGCTTTGCTTCACCAACTGTAAAGCTACAACATAAATCCAAACAKAAAAAAAAAWAGACTTTTTTTCYTTCCTTTCTTTCTGCCAGTGAAATACAATGTCACTGCAAATGGCCTTTCTAGCTAGGATATGAAAAAGTGCAAGAAGGAGGGCGAATAAATAAGCGTGGTAAAATATTTACCATTCAAGACATCAGTAGCCAAGGGCAGATTGATGGGAAATGCTCAGTTTGGGGCTGACAGCCTTTAAATGACCTCTTCACAAGGCCTGGATGCTGAAATAGAACGAGCAGGGGAGCTCCAGGGGGACCTGCAGGGATTTGGAGGGGTTTTTTGCCGTGTCAGGCGCTGGCCCGCTGACAGCAGCAGCAATTCCAGGTGTTCCCTCCTCCCAGATGCTGGRGAAGCTGCTCATCCCAAGGAGGCTCCAGCCGCCCCCCTTCCTGCAGATCACATGCTACATTTCACTTCTGGCCAGGCCTCACCTCCGTTTATTGCTTTTTTGGCTCAAAATTAATGTTTTCGGGCTGCAGAAGCACTTCCCAAGATGGATTTTTCCACCGAGGAAGGAGCCGCAAGAGAAGGGCCACTTCAGATGGTCAAAGMGTGGGGCTTGGGAGATTTATTTTAAATTAAATAAGTTATTCCATGTGTCCTGGACACGAGCTGGCTATAAAGTAATTCGAAATCCAGGGAGAAAACCCCCGGCAGTCAATTTTTTTCAGCCCTTGGAGCTGAAATACCCTCCCAGCAGTTCATCACCTGGCAAATAAACCTGCCAGCTCCAAACTTTATTAATCATTTGTTGTACCCTGCTTGAACTTTTCCCAACTGAACTCRGCAGTGCTCTCATTCTCCACCCACTGGTACCAAAAGAAAGGAGGAAAGAGGACAAAAAGAGAGTGATGAAAGCTTCATCTCTGCCTCCTCCACTGCAGGAACATGAACTCCCAATAATTTGGGGAGACACCTGCCTTTTTCCTACTTGCAGCCCAGTTTCTGGAATCACGAAACAGCCARACCAATCTTTTCSTTGATGGGATGKTTTTTTTAATTTTTGGCTTGTACATGGAATTTTTTGGGCAGCGATTTCTCCAACTATCATTCCAGAGTAATAATTAACAATTTTTTCTCATTGTCTACATGCTCTGACACCTCCAAAGACATTGTTTTATGACGTGCCTGTATTTCTCCTTATAAATGTTAATGTTTTAGCCTTGAAGAAATAAGTGAAAGGGAAAGAGATGASAAGAACTGCAGGGAAAAAAAGGAACAGATGTTCCTGAGATCATAGCAAAACAAGCCCCACACTTAATAAGAACAAACCGTGATGTATAACACGGTTATTTTCCTAACCTYTCTAAAATTACCTATTTGACTGATTTCTTAGGTGTAAAAAGAGGYTTAAGGCCTTCCCTCCTGGCAAAGTACCGTGGTCTGGAGTAATTTAGAAGCTCCCTGGTTCAGCACCTTGAGACCACGAGAGCACAGACAGATTTAAGGCATTGCTGGGTTTGTGCAAGGCTTGCAGGAATGCGGCTCYTAACACCACTGTAACTGGAGAAGTGTTTTTAAAGTCCAGAAAAAAAACCCCAAAGCTCTGAATCAATGCCTGCTCCAGCAGAAACGCACCCAAAAGTCAGCRGTGGTTTGGGGTGGAAGGAGGGGCACAGCACCTGCACCTGTTGGGGTGCAGAGCAGGGATGAGGTTAGAAATTTGGGAATGGGAATCTCTTCCAGCTGCAGGGGARTGCTGATAAAATCAGCCTGTCACAGCACGTCAGGCTGCTGCTTGTGATGCAGCCTTGTCCACTGACACAACCCAAATTGGGATATGCTCGTCACATATTCARGTGGAGTAATTTTATATTCATGCACCCATTCTGCATATGATGCATTCTGYATCTGTTGTAGTATTAAGTGTAAGGGCTGCCTTAGAAAGGAAAAACTCTTCTTTAAATTCTCTTAAATTCCCATGTTAACCCAAGCAGGGATTATAAAAATGCAAAGATATGCACCCTGATTTCCCTATTTTCTGAAATGGTGGTGCTATTTTAATTATAAGGCATCTTTCCCTTATTTCTTCTCTCCAGACTTTCCACTTTGCTTTTTCTTTTTTCTTTTTTTTTTTGGACATATCCTAAATATCTTCAATTTTCAGTATTTAATGGCAAAATACATACAGGCAAGGACTCCACTGCAGGCTACTGTGGYGGGCCAGTGATTATTGTGGATGCTGTGATTAATGTGGCACCCACAAGTGAACAATGAGGAGTTCACATCCCTTTCTAAATTGGATTACCAGACCCTGGCTTTCCTTCAGACAAGGGCAAAACGTGTTTGTACCACTTATTTCATTGGCCATTAATGCTGTTCCTAAAGGACATCTCATTCAGATGCAGTTTCTGCTGCTCTTTCCRCTTCATCTTTTATACAGCCATAGACAAAACCATCAAATCTGTGCAGTTTCCTGTAACAAGTTTTTCCCACGTCTTAATGACTATAATAACCAGAGTTCAGAAAGATACAGCTTTTATTTCAAAAACAAATCTGGAAGAAGRTAGGAGCTGCTAAATTGGGTCAGAGATCCACATAGCCTGAGGTCCTGGTCGTCACGGTGGGGAGCAGCTGGCAATTCAGGAAAACCACCGAAGGACAGAGCATGGAGTGATCCCTCCCAGGGCACTCCTCCTGCAATCAGACTTCCTCCAAATTGCCTCCAGACCACCCTGCTTAGCAACCACTGAAAGCTGCMCTAATAAAAATATATCTTATTTCTCCCCAAATCCTTTTATACCCTCGACCTCCCCAGCATCCTGTGACGAGTTCCACACTCAAACCAGAGCATTTTGCAGGGAATTAGATTTTTTTTGGTTTTTTTTTTGGAAGCTGCTGCTTGCTAACATTGCTGGGAGAAGCCTGTAAATGCTCATGGAGGGGAGCCATGGGTGGCAGGGTCAGGTTCTTCTGCCTCAGAGCCAAGCTGCAGATTCAGAASCGGCTGGGCGGCCTCGTCCCTGCGGGAAGAGCAGCGATGCTGAGTTGGTGTTTTGTGCAAGGGGGAAGAAAAACACCCCCACCCTTCCATTTGTGCCATGGGGTTGGTTTGGAAGCAGATGTRAGATGGAGCTGGGAATTGTGGCAGCACTGCCAAATGAAGGCTCCCTGGGGCGGCTCCAGAGCAGTCTGGGACTGTCTGAACTTGCAGAATGTGCCCTGTTTGGGGTTTTTTTTCCCCTGCTGGGTCATTTCCTCCTCCAGACAGCCTGGGACAGCCAGAGAGGGCAGGCAGCAGGTACCTGGCAGCAGCTGCAGGTTCAAGTTCAACCAGAGGGTGTTTGGCACCTTTTTAGGTGCTTTAAGCATGTCTGGTTTTCAGGAGGAGCTGAGCTCCCTGAATCTCCTGAAAGTCATTCGTGGCATTTCCTCTGACAGCCAAGRAGTTGTGTTTATTTTAAAAAGCAAATTAAATGCAAACAACAACATTTGCCTTTTTCTTTYATGAGAGCAAAGGCTCCATATGGAACAGGCTCCAGTGACAGAGYGTGACCATCTTGTGGCAGGAGACACAGCACTTCACTGAAGAGAGAAATATGTTCTTTGTGGATGAAATTTTGCCCCTGCAAGGAACAGCCATTCCTGCACGGATTTTCCCAACATTTATCTGTTCTAATAAATCCTGTCCACACTAATCCTTGAGTGAGCAAGTTTCACCCTTGCTCTTCACACCACAGCCTCTGTTTGGGGCAGATGATTTTTAATTTCTGTCATGGGAGAGATGGTCTAAACAAGAAAATCTCCAGAATGGACCCTCCTCCAACTCACAAACACATATAGAGACCTATATAAACCTATGTAACAAACAAATTGGCTGCTCCCATGAAGTGCTTGTGCAATCATTCCTTTTCAAGTAATATATAGGGCATTTGTCAACTTAATAAACACATTAATTAAACATTAAATGAACAACATTTCTTTACATCAGGTAAAAAAAATCACTGCATTTATGCTTCAAATATCTGTGGAGCTGTAGCCCATAAATCAATATAGGAGGATGGGAGTTCTTTGCCACTTCTTGCCTGTCATTATTTTACCTGTAATAAAATTCAACCAGGCCCCAGCCTGGAGTTAAGCCATTGAGTTGGAAATCTGCAATGCACTCGTGGAAAACCCCACTCCCCTTCAGGCCATTGTACACCACGGGGCAGCTCTGCTTATCCAGAACTGCAGAAACATCAAAGCTCTTGCCACCTTGGAGAAGAGTGAAAAAGGAAACAGTGTCACCAAATCTCAGCAGTATTTTATCTCCAAAAATCCCCGTATCTATTATTTTTGTGCATGGGTTTTGTTTGGTTTTTTTTTTGGTTTTTCTGAAGAGTCATATATCTCCTGTCCACTTTGCAAATCAAGGACAACTGATCTGCCAGATTTCTGGATGAATCCACCTCATAACAGATGTTTTTACACCCCAAAAAAAGTGGAAATCACATATTTTATGTGGATTAGCATAAACAGCCACCTCAAACAGAACCTGGAACTGTCCCTCTGGAACCTRTGGCCCTGATACTGCAGTGGACACATCTCACCCAGGACACACCACACCTAATTTAATTTAAGCAGGGAAGTGCCCATGGAAGGGGTGGTGGAAGCAGATGATYTTTAAKTCCCATTCAACCCAAACCATGYCATGATTTTCTGATTCCAAGTATATTTCTCAGCGTGTGAGATGATGCATTCCCCAGGTTCACATGGAATCTCACTGAATAGTCATTCYTCCACTAGAGGAACTGAATCCCAAAAAATGAAGGCAGATGTGGCTGGACTGTGTTGAGCTTACCAGCAGTAAAACTGACTCCATACTCATCCTGGATGTGCCCATCCTCAGCCAGATCAGCCAGGGAGGCRTTGGACCACTCAATGCCAGCTTTCTTCCCATCAGGAAAAAACACGTAACCCACAGAGAGGCTGCAGGGGAGAGGAATGGAGAGGGTTTCAAATTCAAATTCAAAATTCAAAAACAGCGGCACACAGCCAAGAGATTGGGATTGTTCAATCTGGAGAAGAGAAGGCTCTGGGGAGATCTTGGGACAGGGCATGGAGTGCCAGGAGGGAAAATGCTTGTGCAATCAATGAAATGCTTCCCACTGCCAGAGGGCAGGGATTTGGTGGGATATTGGGAAGGAATTCTCCCCTRTGAGGACAATGAGGCCCTGGCATAGGTGCCCAGAGAAGCTTTGGCTGCCTCATGATCCCTGGCAGTGCCCAAGGTCAGGCTGGATGGGGTTTGGAGCAATCTTGGTGCCATGGACATCAGTTTTTAATCTTCTGGATGCAGTGAACACCGGCCAGCAAGGCAGGACTCTGCATGGAATGCCCTGGCACAAGAAACACCTTCTCCAACAGCTGGAAATGCCCAGTTTGTACATCTAAATCATCCAGACAGACAGGCAGCTGCATCAGCCCTCAGCAATCGAGGCAATGGGAAGTAAAACCTATCTTGGTGACTAACTGGGAGTAGGGACCAAGAGGGTGTGGATGGAAATKGGGCTGCCCAGGTTCAAAGCAAGAATGTGCACACAGGTGTCTTGCAGAGCAGCTTTTCCAGCCTTTCAGATGCATGGTTTCAGCAAGCTCAGCTTTGGTCACTTACTGCCTTGTGGTGGCYGGCATGTTAATGACTGTTAAATGTGCTGCAGTCCCATCCTGCAAGGGAGAGAAAGAAAAAGCAGCCAAAAGTGGTGCAGAGGCATTTCTGAGGGTCCTTCACCAGCTGCACCAAGAACAAACACTGGATATTGTGCAATGTGTTATGGCCTCACAYTCTAAAATGCTCTCACCACATCTGCCAGGAAAATCTGACTGCAAACAAGCGCAGGAATATAAACCAAACACACTCGGGACAAATCAAGGACAATGGGGACAGCAGAGAGTCCACAGCGAGAGGACGCAGGAGGGAAAAAATGCCTGCAAAGAAGTGCAAAACTGATGTACTTTGACCAGACTTCTAACCTGCATTARTCTATGTCTGGGGAAAATCAGGGAAAAATACTAAGAAGAAACTAGAATGTCCTGGTTTTACTAATTTCTCTTCCATCCTTGAGTCTGGCCTCTTCACGCTCCACTTGGGCTGCTCTGAGGCAAATTTAAGTCTCCTCTTTGATGCTGTCAATGTACAGACACTCAGGGTAAGAGGACTCCAAACTTCAATTTGCAATGAAATTCTTAACAAAATCAGGTGGCTTTTTAATGAGGAGCAGARCAGGCACAGTCACTTTGAGTCCTCAATAACTCTGAAGAACAGGCAGAGTTTACTGCCTGGTTACACACATTGTAGGGCCAAAGCTCAGTTATAGTAAAAGGTACACAAGCACCTGTTAAATCAGCATTTSCACAAGTGGGATTTTCCAAGCTGTGCTTTTGTGCTGGCCCCATATATTTGGGAGAAGCACTTTGATTCTGAATTCAGTCTAAATTCCTGTAACGCTGCCTATAATGAGAGTTTTGATTTACGCCTGGCTTGGCAAAGGAAATGCCTTTTCAGGAGCATCTGCTGGGYTTGGCTGGCAGCTGGCAGGGCCAGCCCTCAGCATGTCCCTGGGCTGTGTGCTCCCAGCAGCCACAGCTCTGCCTCTCCTGCACACAGCAGAGCAGGGAATTATTGCTCAGCACAGCCAGAAATATTTGCTGAGCGCTGTCACAAAGGCTTAGGATGCTTCGAACACCTCAGGCTTCCCATTAATGTGAATCAGCACTGCAGCAACCCCACAGAGTGCTGGCTACTGCAGCAGCTGAGAAACTCCTGTCAAGCTGCCTGATTTTCCTTTAGAAAGCAAAAACAACCAGTTTCAAGTTATCAAAACAACTTTTGCTGCAATCAGTGTGGTGAAATCTCAGTTTTTACACACATAGCTCTGCTTTTGAGAGCTGCTCCCAACGCTGGTCTGAGTTAATGGTGCCCAACTTCTGGTTGTATGCCATGGATGCTCCCAGTTCCTGATTTCTGGTTATTTAAAYACTCCTGACAAGCTCAGAAACAATTCCATGGTTAAGCAGCACATTGCCATGTTAATACCTACCTCAAAGTGTGCCAAAATCATGACATAACGGTGAATCTCAGCCCAGTTCCGGATACCTGCAAAAAAAGAACAAAACCCCCCAATCTAAAGTTCACCATTCCTGGGAAATGTGAACTAACAGTACCTGACTTGACAATAACTTTGGATAAATAAATACCCAGCAAGTGATGACATGGTAAGCAATGTATGTCCCCAAAATAAGGATGGATTTCCTCTGGAATGTCTTAGCTTCATGCCCAAACATGGACCTGGTTATTTTTACAGTCTCACTGCCCTGCCAGTGCCAGCTACACTGAAGGTGTTCCCAAGGGAGGGAATTCTTTCTGGAGCTGTTACCGTAGGAGTGGCTCCGAACGCCTTTGAGGGAAAGTTCCATTTTGCCGTGATTTTCTATTTCAATTTCTCCCACAGAAAGGCCCCACTGCTCGTGGCGGAAATGYTGTTCCCTTTGTCTGGAAGAAAAAAGGGTGGATCAGCACAGGCAAAATCTSCAGGTCTCCTCAAAAAGCCTCAGTGCCAATCTTCATCTCAAAATGAAGGAGATTTCAGAGCATCTGCACCATGGCTATCCCAGATTTCACACATCAGCAATCACTTTTACATTTCCCAGTTACTGTTACATAATGAGACACCTGAGAATGAAACAACAGCAAATTTTCACTCTGACAGACTATAAAAACAGSCTGTGTTTGCAGAAATGCTGAGCTGCCACACAGCTGCTGCTTAGAACTCAGCAGGTATCACCAAAGACCACACATTATTGATAGACGTAATTTCTGCTTCTATTTATATAACATAGTCTCGATTCTCATGGTTTTAGCTTTCCAAAGCTTGTATAATGTTTAAAACACCACTTCAGCTCTTTCACAGAATTATATTCCTTTTCTCAGATATACATGGGCCATTGACCTTGGCAGCTGCCTAAACCAATGAAAAGAGACAGAATAAAAACTATTTCTGATGCTGAAGGTTTTACAGATCTGTGGGCAGGTCTTTTCACCCACATATCAGGAGATCCCATCTGCGTGCAGGATCCTCCAGGTTTGGTGTGGCACTGAAAAYAGGAGCCTTGTTCTTTATTAGAGCACTTCAAATTAAACCCAGTTCTAAAATCAGCTATAACATCTTTATCTATCCTGAAAAGATTGGTAGAAAAGATTCTCATTAACCCCACAAGACATTAATCTTGCCTCTCACTTTTTGACCCTCTGGAAGAGCTCGATGGTCCATGGCTCCTGGGCTAAGGCACGTGCAAATRTGCTGGGGTTACTGTCAGCATTAAAGTTAAAAACTTCTGTGAAGTTCTCCCAGCTAGGAAAAAACACAGGGAAAAAAATGTTGTTAGCATTCAGCTCATACTAGGCCATGTTGCTACTTGGACAGTGGCAATCTTYGTATTTTATTGGAAAAATTTGATTTTTGTAATTTTAAATGAGCCATGAACTCACATCCCAAAAGCAGAGATGAAAAACTTACTGCAAAGAGAATTTAACTGGTACAAGTTCTCCTTCCTCTTCACTCCACTGCTGYCTGTAGGGTCCTTTCCTGCAAGGCAAAGCACTWTAATTTTATATCGCTCCTAACCAAMCAACCAAATGTTTATTACAYGTTTGGAATTGGATTGAATAGGAGACAATGCAGAAGAACCTGTAATAATGTACARTATCAGATATATTTTCATTCCTTAAAAATCAAAGTGTGTTGGTTACCAAGTAGCCTTTAGTTCAAGCTGGTTAAATTATTTCTTCCCAGATAGTGCTGAAAAAGCCTTGGTTTTACATGTAGATAAACAGAATTAGGGAGTGCTGCAATACCTGAGTAATCCATCAAAATTTATCTTCCAGCACATTTGGGGCTCCAAGTATTCCATAGTGAGACCTCCTCCCCTCCAGATCTCTTCAGATTCATCTCTCACCATCATGTTTGGATGTTGTGGGTGCTAAAACGAGGGAACATTTCAGTAAAACATTTGCTTAATTCAACTGTGAGGATACCACAAAGCAGTCTTGTTATMCTAAACATTATTAAAACCCMAAMTAATGCACATCAATCCTCTCTCTTYTTTTTCTGTACTCTTCAAACAGGATTTCTCCTGCTTTTTCTGGTTGTGGCTACATAGTGAAACAGATTTGTGAATGTAGAGGGAGTTGAGTGCAAAGGGATTTATGTCAGGTCTCCTCTCCTTCTTTACTATGCAGCCAGCCATTAACAAAAAARGAAAACCTGCAGGCAAAATATCTGATTAATACTATCTGATTAAGCTTTCTTTTCAGCAAGAATGAAGCAGATGTGYATATAACTCATTAAAAGCTTTTCCTTCTCTTTTAAAGAGGCAATTCCAAATGGTTTTTATAGCCCTAAAATTAAAAAAGGGGGAAAAACCAACCATAAGCAGAAAATAGAACTCATTAACCATGTGCTGCAATTTATTGGGAAGACTGGATGCTCTAATCTTTCCTGGGAGATTTACCAAGCCATTTTTTAGAAAATATGCTGKTTTGTGCACATTATGGGAAAAGGGAATGAGTGTCAGATCCTGCTGAAATAGGGACAAACCCAGTACCCTGACCAGTCTACCCCTGCCTTTGGACACAGCATCAGTGTCTTATTGGTGGGATGTTAATGAAGATGCAGMGAACATTAATTCTGGCTTAGGATTCCAACAGAGGTTCAAGATGGGAGTTAAACACTGCTCCCGAATGTCATCCCACATCGCACTTACTTCAAACTCCCCTATCCCATCGAGCCTCAGGAACAGCCACATCTCACAGAGGCCAGCGGGACGTCGGGCCAGGCGAGTGATCACAAARGTCCTGTTGGTCTCTGCAAAGCCAGTGAAGTACAAGGAATCGAGTGCCTGGGGAAAGGGAAATGGATTTCATCTCCAGCGGGAGGCAGGAAAGGGAGGGGAGAAGGTCAGCAATCCTTTGTTTTTCATAGGCTTCTTTTCAGGGAAGAAATTTTACTTTCACTTTTTGCGTTTCATAGCAGGSACCCCGATCCAGGGGGATAAAAGTGTTCTGAACGAACGTGGGGATGATGGGGATGATGGGGATGGAAGTTTCGAGACTGGGGGAACGTGGGGCTGCTGGGGAATGGAGTGCCAGGGGAACAGGGAGATGCCAGGCATGGGGGAGACAGGGATGCCAGGGAATAAGAGTGGGGTGTCCCGGGTAAAAAGCTCTCCAGATCGGGGGTCCCAGGCCACTCACGTGGGGGTCGGCGCGGAGCGGGCGCGGCCGGCGCGGCTCTGCGGTGCTTGCGGCCGCCGCTCGCTGCCTGGAGCCGGGGCAGAGCAGGAGGCAGCCCAGGGCCCAGCGCTTCAGCGGCGCCCAGGAGCCGCGGGTGGCCACTCGTCCGGCCCCGAGCAGCGCCAGCAGCGCCGCGGCCACCAGCGCCAGCAGCGCCGGCAGAGCCGGCATCGCGGCTGCGGAGCGATGCGGGGTGCGGAGCGATGCGGGGTGCGGAGCGATGCGGGATGCGGAGCGATGCGGGATGCGGAGCGATGCGGGATGCTCGGTGCGGAGCGATGCGGGATGCTCGGTGCGGAGCGATGCGGGGTGCTCGGTGCGGAGCGATGCTCGGTGCGGTGCGATGCTCGGTGCGGTGCGGGGCTGGCTTCGGCCGCCCCCAAACCCCGCCTCGGGGCCGCTCCCTGCCGTGTCCCGGGATGGATCGCGGTCATTTCCGCGAGGGGCTTGTCCAACTCTGGGAAGTTGCATTTGCTGCTTTTATTTACTACGCGCTGCAAGGGAAGTTCAGGCAGTTSTCTTGGAAAGACGCGGCCGAGTTTCTAGGAAAACGTGCAGGATAAGTGATGCGGTGGAGAAAAGTGGGGTTTGGGCTCTTTCCCGGGGATCCCAACTCTTTGATGCAGATTGCTGAAGGACAGCCAGTTTAAGATTAGACAGTTAAATAAGTGTTTTCCAAAGAGGGTGGTAAAAYGCTGRCACAGGYTGSCAGAGAGGTGCTGGATGCCCYRTCCCTGGAAACATTCGGAGGCARCTTTGAGCARCCTGGTCTTGYCMAATATGCCYGTGCCAGGGRGRACTTGGACTGGATGACCTTTAAAAGGACCCWTCCAAYTCAARCTRTTCTATCAGTCTATGACTTCTRATCCTGTTTTATTGRGGTTTTGGCATACATAGGTCRGCCCAATTCACCYRAGGAACCAAAAAACCYCACCCACAGCAGGCATCTCAGCATCTCTTCAGCATCTCTTGTAGGTACCATTCCTAGGAGCCATATTTTTGAATGCTTTTGGTTGGCCACACAAAAGATCTTTTTATTCCTTKTACAAGTAGCAAACATTTAGTCTCATTTCTCTGTGCTAAAACAAACACAGCTTCTCAGGAGAGGGTGAAGTGCAGCTCATCTCACCTTGGAGAGCCCTGGGGCTCTCAGAACCTGCACTTTCTTTGTCTCCTGGGCGTTTTGACTCCCTGTTAGCTCTACAAACTTCTTAGTGGACTCCCTGTTAGTTGAAAAAGCATTTATTGTACATTTTTATGCCTTGTTTCCATTGTGTTCAGTTTGGTTTTATAGCCACCTCTGCCCTGGTTTAACAGATCAGTGCTTGTGGTTTCTTCGATTTTCTTCTTCGAATGCAACTTTGTTTTAATAACCTCCTGAGCTCTGCTGCTCCTTTTTGCCCTTTATCCAGTCTTACCTGATTCTGATGTGCACTTACACTGCCTCAATGATCTTGTTTCTATCGTTCTTTCAAAAGCTTTTAGTGTGTAAGATGTTCCTTTTAAAACCTTCTTAAAAAGGTTCCTCAGGTTTACACAGTTCCCATTTTCTGAGACCAGGCACAACTGTTCTGTGTTGTTTTACTGCTGTCCATGGGCCACATCAAATCAAAAGGAGAAGGRCAGAAGGCACCAGAGACTCAGACAATGAGGTTCAGAAATTAATTTCTGTAAATCACTGTTGCTTCAGTTAATATTGAACAGGCACATTTTAAAGTTAAGCTCATACAGTAGGCAGAGAGCCAGAGGGATAATRAGGCTATTTTCATACTTCAGATTGTGCTGTGGAGGGATTGAAAACAGCCTAAAACAGAAAGAGATGTGTCACAATGTTATCACTCTGCACCTGCAGCACGGCAGATGGGGCTCAGTCCACAGAAAGGCTGCAAAGGGAATGGATTATGAAAAACAGCTTTTCTTTTTTGCTAGAATTTAAACACATTGTTGACACAAAGCAATGGTCAATGGGGAAAGATCTGCACAAATGGCAAACCTYTGGGACTTTACAAACATGCTCATAATTAAATCCTGAGCAGCTCGATTCTGCCTGAGGTGGAAGGGGCTACAACAAATGACAGCTCCTTCTAAACTCTTCCTTTCATTCCCCAGTGCAACACATGAACTTTGCSACCCTTCCCCAAACTGTTGTGAGTCCCTACACAAATGATTTAAATTTCAATATTTGCATTTCTGAGGGGTGTGACTATTTCATGTGTTCTGATAYGCGATGCATTCCAAAGCTCCCAGAACCTCCCCAACCCATGGTGAAGGCATTGTGTGTGTCCCTGCAGAATCTGTACCACAGATAAGCTCTGTTCCTTCCCGWGAGGACAGGAAACATGGAAACAATTTGTTTCGTGCAACGTTCTGTTTCCACATTTCTTAGGTAATTTGTTTGAGGACTCAGAGTTATCTCTGGCAAACAATTTATCTTGGCAATGCCATTCCTGGTGGAAATGAGTTCCAAACTACTGGGACTTGCAGAAGAACTGAAGTCCTGATGTGCTGAGAATGTTTTTAGTGTGAAAACACCACCACTGTGTGTATTAAAATAAGGGCTGCTCCACATGTTTAGCAAAAGTGTGGGGAAGAAAACACTCAACTGATTTGGTTTTAAGATCAGGAGAAAATGAGGAGTCTGCGACTGATGCACAGTGCTAAAACACAAAGAAAACACAAGCTGAACTCAAGAATTCCTGGTTAAATTAAATTAAATGTAAGCTTCTGCATAAGCATATTGGTAAAATAAGACTACACAGTACCTAACATTTTKGTAACTTCTGGGTCACTGTGGTACATCAGCCATCCTGAGATAAAAGCATAAGAACAGTGGTTTTCTCAAGGGTTAAGCTCCATAKAATATAATATCATATAATGTAATGCAATATAATATAAACAATATCATATAAATAATACAAGTAATAATATAATACCATCTCCATTTAGTTTTCATTCCTGCATAAATGACAATTAGTTACATTAAGGAAAACACAGAAGGAGAAGGAAGTTTCAGAAAAAAATCAGTCCTTATGATTTTGTGTCTGGAGATTTACATAATTGTATTTGAACAGCAGAGATACTGGCATTGACTGATTTTCTTTTAGCATCTGCAAGCAGCTGGTGGGAAATAGAGGAAAATACATAAAATCAAGCTTTCCATCCCAGAAGGAGACAAACACAGGCGTGTGAGGAGATGTATTTTATTGCAGCTATCAACACATACAACCCTTGTGCACTGGCTGCTCGTATCCCACTAGATGGTGGTCATGCTACAAGAAAAAAAGGACGTAGGAGCGTGCCTGAGTTGTCATCGTTTCTGTTTGTCATCCTTCAGCTTTTTTAATGTGTTTCAAAAATATCCTCAGCTCACACGCTGCAAGGTTTGTTGTTTTGCCTCTGTTTTTTAAGCTACCAGGTCTGTATTTCTCTTAATGCACAGTGGGAAATTCTGAATGAGTGKCATGTAGTATTATTTCCATATCAAATAACTTAACTGCTGATGTTTTAAGCATTGTGAACAACTGCTGAACATGCCAAATTCGACGCCAAATCACCTGAGACTCTTAAGACGTGAAATCACAGAATCCCAGAATGGTTTGGGCTGGAAGGGACCTTAAAGCTCATCATGTTCCAGCCCTGCCATGGGCAGGGACACCTTCCACTAGRTGAGGTTGCTACAAACCCTGTCCAACTTTGCCTTGAACACTCCCAGGGATGAGGCACAAGTTAATGAGGGACTGTAATGAAATATGACCACGAAAATAGTGTAGACATAAAGCAAAAATTCTTCATGGAGAAACTGAAGTAAMACCCACTGCATCCGTGTTCAGCTCTCGCAGGGCACGATGATAATCTGCTGCTGGTGAGGAAGATTCCAGGAGGATACAGATCCTCAGGGATGCAGTAACACCATGGGGGATCACTCAGCAGCCTACAAATCCAAATTTACTCTCAAATCCTGAGTCCATGAGGTCTCATATGTCAAACTGTGGGTGCTGCAGGTGACCCTGCATGGGTCAGGGCAGCCTGGGCTCCAACCAGGCTGGGGATGAGCAGATTGAGAGCAGCCTTGGAGAAGGATTTGGGGGTTTTTATGGATGAAGGTGGACATGGCCCAGCCGGGATCCCCTGTGCCCTGGGCTGATCCCCAGCAGGAAATAGGGGGGATTCAGTCCCTGTGCTCAGGTGAGACCCCACCTGCAGAGCTGCCCCAGCCCTGGGGCACAACACAGGAAAGATGTGGACCTGCTGGAGAGAATCCAGAGGCACCAGGGAGGTCAGAATAATGGAGCAGCTCTGCTTGGAGGAAAGGCTGGGAAAGCTGGGATTGTTCATCCTGGAAAAGAAAAACTTCAAGGTGACCTAATTGTGGCCTTCCAGTGCCTGAAGGGAGCCCACAGGAAAGATGGAATGGGACTATTTATAAGAGCATGCAGTGACAGCACCAGAGGGAATGGCCTCAAACTGACAGAGCAGGTTTGGCTGTTAGGAGGAAAGTCTCCCATGTGAGGGTGGAGAAGCCCTGGCACAGGATGCTCAGATAAACCGTGTCTGCTCCTGGATCCCTGGAAGTGTCCCAGGCTGGATGGTCCTCGGAGCACTCTGGAGCAGCGAGAGGTGTCTCTGCCCATGGCAGGGGTGACACTGGATGGGCTTGTTAGGAAAATTAATCCACAGGYTTATGTCCAAAAAGGAGACAAAGGAGTCCCACAACTTTATTCACCAATAAAGGGAGAGGTCATGGGCATTTCCCATGGGGTCTCTCAAATTCATAGAG